TAAATATTTCTTGTGTTAGAGAAATAGGTTGGTGAGTATGGGTTTCATACGTGCGCATGATTCCGTTTCATGCGCATTTTATCCCATCAAGATCTCTCTTTTCTCAATCGTTTTTTCTTTTTTTTTCTTTTTTTTATCATGTGATATCATGCGCATGAAGCATTTCGTGCGCATTTTTCCCATCACTAGTAATAACTTTTGAGAAATTATATCATAACTGTTTTTACTTGAACCTTATTGAATTGATTAAAATCTTATATTCTATTTTGTAAAGGAATCTATTTTTAGGCTTCCTGGTTTTTGCTTTGTAGCACTAAGTATGTTTTAGATTATAGTAAGGATACAAAGTAATACATCGACTAGTTAAAGACATATTGTAATTTCTCATTTATCCCTTTTTACAGTATATTCTTTTCATTAAATGTCCTTTCAGTAAGTTTTATTCATATCAGTACTTTCAAATTTATACTTAGGCTATGATAATTCGCTAGAAGAATTCTTTACAAATGCATAATCTTGAAGCCTTTTGCAATATTCAGTAATTCATATTTCCTAGGCTCGCGATGAAGAATGCATCTGCATTTATTAACAATAAGTTATATTTATTGGTGATGAAACTTTAATTATTTTTTTTTTTTCGATTTTAACCTAGAATATTTAGGACGCCGGTGGCGTGCTTTATTAAATAATTGTACAATTATATACAGTTTAATTTTTTAGTTTCTTCTACCTTTGTGATTTTGTTTCTCAACACTTCTAATTCTTTTCTAAGTCTGTGTTTTATTAACAATTCCAGAATTGGATCTGGAATAGAGTCACCCCATTTTGCCTGGGTGTACCAATACCATATCTCATATATGGTGATTATGTTTATCCAGTTTCTCCATTGAATATTTCCTGTATAACGATCTGTAAATATCGAGTTGAAGTCGTTGGGTATTTTCAAATTGGCTGGAGAAGCGACCAATTCTGTTGATATTTTCCAAATTTTTTGACTTATCGGGCAACTGAGCGCGAAGTGTTCTGGTGTTTGAACTATATTTCGGCAGTTTGGGCAGTTTCCTGGGTCATTGGGGTCGATATGTCTGATTCTATAGCCTAATGGGAGTGCATTATGTTGCAAGCGCCAGTATATGTCTCTTTTATTATTAGGAACCAATTTTGTGTTCATCCATTTCCATGTATCTTCAGTTGAGTTGTCTATTAAACGGCTTCAGTTTTGTATGTTGTGTAATGTATTATTTTTGAGGAATTTAACCGTGTTTCCAACTGAAAAGTCTCTACCTGAAGTGTTTGCAATAGTGAGATTGTCCTTATTCCATGGCCAGTTCTCTCTGCTGGATTCTATACTACCTTTTGCATGTTTCCACGTGGTTATATATGGTTTCCATTGTTCGGGTCAACCTTTTGTTTTGATATTATCTCCATTGAGGGCTGTTTTGACTGTAATGTTCCTTTTAATACTTAGAGCTTCTTCTATTATTGATCTTTCTACTTTAGCCCATAAGTTATTCTCTGTTAAGAGTTTTATCAAAATTATCATTAGACATGCATCTATCATATCAGGTAGGATTGGAGCATTCAGACCTCTACTCGTATACGGAAGCTGAAAAGTAGCATATTTCAGGAGTAGTTTAGACTTTGATTTTATCCATTTTTCTATAGTATCATTAATCATTGCTAGTTGTTTTCAGCTTGGTGGTGTCAGGTAAGTTATATACCATATCTTTGATAACACTAGGGACTTTGCTAAAATGATTTTCCCTTTGAAAGAAAGCTTGCATGTTGTCAATTTCTCAGTTTGTTTTTGAGCTTGCAGATAATATCTCTTCATAAATATTTGTCAACTGTTCTTTCTTGTGTTATTTTGTAACCAAGTACTACTATTGGTTTATTTTTCTCTGCATGTTGAAAGCTTTCTCTCTTTCAAGTTCTATGCATTTTGCATTTGTAGTCAGTGATATCAGAGTTGATTTAGTGATATTAACTTTAGCATTTGAGGCAGCTTCATAATTTTTAACTATTTGTTTAAAAAGGTCTTATTTTATAAATAAGCTAATTCTAACTATCAGATCATCAGCATAAGCTGCAGCCTTAAATCATTCATTAGCTATTTTTATCCCTTGTAGATTATTATTCAATTTTTGTAGATAAGGTTTAAATGCAATTATGTAGAGAAGTAAGAAAAGAGGATCTCTCTGTCTTATTCCTCTTTTCACTCTAAAATGTTCTAACAACATACTATTATCAGTAATATAGACTACTTAGTTAGAGAACAACATTTGAGTTAAGTTTACGAAAGCTGATACAAACTGTATTTTTTTTTTAAAATTTCTATCAAGTATTAGTGATTGACTCTATTAAAGGTTTTTTGTTGGTCTATGAATATTATTTAGTGTTTCCTGATTTGATTATATTAATTTCTCAATATGATGATTATTTAAAACTATGTCTATAATTGAATGATTTGTGATAAATTCTGTTAATAGGTTCCTATAATTGTTTGACATATTTGGTTAATTCTGTTTGTTAAAATTTTTATGAAAATTTTGAGGTTACAGTTAGTTAATGAAATTGGTCTCCAATTATCAATATCCTCTAAACTCTCTGATTTTTTTGGGATTAGAGTAATAATGTTTTTGTACTATAATTTGAAGAATTTTCCCTCTATTAGCACTGAGTTAAACAAATTTTTTAGCTCAGATATAATTGTTTTTCTTATTTTTTTGTAGAATTTGTATAATAACCTATCTGTTTCTGGTATTCTATTATTGAGAAGAGCTTTAATGATATTTTCAATTTTATCAGCTATTATTTCTTTGGTTAAATTATTATTCTGTTCTTTAGATACCATTTTTAGGTCTGTAGTAATGTTCTTTACTGCCTTCTTATCTATGTTTTTTGCTTTATATAATTGCTTATATATCTCTTTGGCATAAAACAAAATATCTGTTAGGATATTCTTTGTTGTCTTATTTGGTATATATATCTTTTTTGTGAAATTATGAAATTAGTAGTATATTAGACTTTGTACTTGGAGAAAAAATACTTGGTTGACTATTTGTTTTCTTTAATTCAGTGAGTATTAGATTAAATTTTTTATTTTTTTAAGAGTGCTATAAGTTCATATTGTAAATCTATTTGGAGTTTTCTAATTGCTAAATTTAACTCTTCTTTTTTGAGATATTACAATACTTTCTTCTGTATTTCTAAAATTTTTTTCTGTAGTCTACTAATTTTTTTTTCAGTAGCTAGTGAGAGTTTGTATTGATAAATTATTGTCTGAATTTTATTCTTTTGTAAGTCTTATATGTTTATTAAAAAGTGTTTCTATAATTTTTTCTTTATCTCTTTTTTAATATTATTATTTAATAAACTTTTAATATTGATTTTCTAATAAGCAGTATTTCCTATATTTGGCTAAAGGTAATCTGAATTTCCAAATAGAGTTTAAATATTTTGGCAGAACTATATATAATTATTATTGATAAAAACATAATAGCCATTATTTAATTATTTCTTATTTTTTGCATATAGATTATAAAGAGATGATCTGAATTATTAGCTATATCTATATAGTTTTTCATCAGTTGTAGGAGTTTTGCTAAAGTAGAATCTGAATATACTAAAGTCTAGTTAACTCTGTTCTTCTGTAAGTTCAGAATTATATTAAAGTTCTCTAAGATAATATTCTTTATATCTTTATTAAATTTTGGAGATTAACTATTAAAAAATCTAGTCTGTTCTGATATTTTAGGAGATGTATAAACATTAGTCACTTTGCAAGTATATTGCTTGAACTTTACTGTTCCTGTTATTATTTTTCTATCTAAGCTTTTTTTTATATTCATAAGTTAGATATTTCTATTTCTAGCTAAAATTATCATTTTTGTAGTTCAGAAAGATTTATATATCTATTGTTATTTAAAAAAGTTATGTATTTTTTTACTCTTTAGATTTGTTTCTTGAACTAATATTAAGTTTAATTTGTATGATTTTAATAATATAAATGTTTTTCTATATTTATGTCTATTATTAAGACCTTTAATATTTATCATGACTATAGAAAATTTGTTTTTATTCATAGTAAAAGAGTATATAGTATTTGTTAATTTACCTAATATTGCTAAAGTTTGAAATCAAAATTGTCTCTCTCTTTTTTTTCTTTTCTGTACAAAATAGTTTTGTTATTATATGCATTTATTACTAATGCTAATTTATTACCTTTTTTTTTATATATTACTATAGAAAATCTTTTTTTATCTAGTATATTCATCATTTTTTGTTTTTTAAGATATCTATTAGTTCTATTTTCTATATTTGTTTAAATTTTTATCTGATTGCTTTGAATTTCTGTTTGATTATACTAAGTTTTCAGATTATTCTGAACTTCTGTTTGGCTATATTAGATTGTTGCCTCTTTCAATACCTCTCTCATAACCTCTGTTCAGACTAACTTTATGTTTGTTTCTTCTCCTGTAGCTTCTGTTTTTTCTATCAGTATAGGTTCTGTTGACTTATTTATCTTTGCTTTGAGTATCTGGTTTTAATTAATTTTTATCTTATATTATAGTATTTTCTTTTTATTATTACTATTATTATTTCTGAATATTTTTCTACTTAGCTTAAATTCTTTATAGTACTTCTTTAGTTCTACTGATTCTTTTAATTGTAGGCAATATTTTTTTATGTAACTTTTTTGGTTGCAGTAGAAGCAAACTCTTAGATCTACTTTCTATTCTATCATAACTTTTTGGTCTAAAAATATACATATGACAAAGAAGTTTCTCTATAAGATAGGTATTATTTGTAGTGTTATATACAACTATCTATTGATTTAACAAAATCAGAGTTTCCTCATATAACAGAGGATTAATTGATACAATAGTCTCAAAATCTTTTATAATCTCTTTAATATAGTTAGAAATAATATTCTTATCTTTTATAGGTATATTGTATAACTTAACTGAAAGACTTGTTCTCTATAAGTTAGTAGATATATATTCTAGTAGTATTTGTCTAAATATAATTATACTCTTTGTAATATATTATTGAAGATTTTCTTCATCTTTTAAGATTATTTTAAAATCTGTTTATTGTCCTTTAGAGAAGTATAGCTTTATAGCAATAAAATTATCATCTAACTTATTATATAAAGTAGTTATAATTTTATTTAAAAAGATGTTTATAAAATTTATAATGTTTAAAATCAGCATATTGTCATTTTTTGATTTGATTTTTTTCTAACTATATTTGCTATATACATAGCCTTCTTGTTTTATATTTTTATAAAAAGACTTGATCATTATTTTACTGATACTTGTTCTTCTGAAACTTTATTACTTAATTTTTCTTTAATTAATATTATTTTTAGATCTGTTTTTGCAAATATATTAGAGTTACTTGATTCAGTTTTATCAACTATTAAACCTATATTTTTTTGAGAATTTTCTAGTTGAACAGCTATGAAATTTTCTGTTAAAGAGGAAGTTATGCTTTATACTAAGTTTCTTTTGTTAGAAGATTTACTTATTTTATAACTTACTTTTATTTCTTCTGCTTAGTTTGTATTTGATTTTAAATATTATTTACAACTTCTTTGTATATTGTCTAGGTATTTCTATATTTTTTTTGTTAAATGCAATCTCTAGATCTTTGTTTTCTTTATTTTTGGTTCTAAGCTTTGTATCATGTATTTTGACCTATTTATTCTTATTTTCTGTCTTTCCAGAAGTCAATATCCTTTTTTTCTGTAGTTTAAAAACAAGAGCCCTTGTTTTAACTGTTGTATTAAAGATAATTTTTTCTTTTTTTTGCATGACTCTTTTTTTTTTCAGTTACCCAGCACTTTAATGCTGCAGAGTATCTGTTGATTAAGAATTTTTTAAACTTTAATTATTAATGCAATCATTCTTTCAAATATTTTTTTTATATTAATTGTTTTATGAATTTTAATAATACAAATAATAGTATACCTTATACAGATCTTTCATATTTATATAGACTTTTGAAGATTGGTTTGGTGAGTTCTTCTATTATTAAACCTAATATAATAATTTTTAAAGAGAAAATAAAAAATAAAACTTCTGGTTATTAAATAATATACACTTTTAATACACAATAATTAACTTCTTAACAAATAGAATTCAATCACTAAGAAAAAAAAATATTCATCCAATATTAAATTCTTCTAAAAAATTATTTTCTTTTAGAGGATAGATAGCTGCTAAATAGTATAAGATAAGAGAAGTAACTCTAGAAACATATAAATATCAGAAGTCTATATGTCATAGTATCAGCATATAGGTATACAGACCTCTTGCCTTTAATAAGTTTTTTAGAAATAAAAGAGTTAAAAGTCTTATAAGTATTAAAAGAGTTATAAGGGTTTTAATACATATAAGAGATAAAAGAAGGAAAAGACCTAAAAGAGATTAAAGAGTTTTAAGTATTATAAAATATTTAATAGTTAAAATATGTTTAAGTATTAAAAGAGTTATAAGAAATATATTAATGTAAATTATATATATTGAGAGTATATTCACTCATAATAAAGAATAACTCTTCATAGTTTTACTATTAAAAACCTTGAATTCTTTATTAAAATAATTATTGATTTCTAATACATTGAATTTCGAATAAACTATACTTCTACTAAATTAACCTCCTCTTTTTACTCCTATAATCCGATCTATCGTTAAATTGATATACAGTATATTTACTGTTGTCTTGCTCACGTAATACCTACCCTACAAATTGTCTGATTAATCTTGATGTACTAAGATTAACCGTAGTCTCTGTATCCAATTAACCTGACATATTGTGGTTGGTTGTGGTTATTTTATTTGGTTCCAGTTACCTGACGAACTATAGTAACTATGGTTTCAAGTATTAGAATACTCAACGAACTGTGGTGTTCAATTCTTTAAAGTCTAAACCTCAAGTGGTCTGCCTGAACAAGTAGAAGATTAATATTAGTAGTATCATCCTTAAAGACCCAAATCCTAGAAGAGTAATTAGAATCACTTACCTACAAGCTCAAACCCACTGACCAAATCTAAACGCCCTCTTTCAATAAGCCATTCGTAGTTATAAGGAGTTTTCTATAGCCGAGCAACTGACTCACTGTAAAATTCCCTTGTTTCAATAGTGATACGAGCTGACCTCAGCTCAACGCTGAGTTGATGAGCAGGTCGACTACAACTAGCACCTTTGTAGACCAGCCAGATCGATATAAGATCAAATTATTTTGGCCAATAGATTTGAAATATAGGAAACTGTCAATGAATGAAGTTTGACAGTAGTCAAGTACAATTACTTCCTCAATTACTTCTTCTGAATCTACATTTTTTTTCAATTTGAATTTTTTCTGATTTCACTATTTTTTTCGAATTCGAGTTTTTCTGATCTCCATTTTTTTATTCGATTCCAATTTTTCGTGACTTTTTGGTTAATTTTTTTGTAAATTTTATCTGTTTTTAATTAATAATTTCTCTTCTCTTCGCATTTTATAGTGATTATTATACACTAACTAACCTTAACTCAGTGATGAAATTTGAAACTGAACTTTTGTAGAAAGGGTCGACTTGGATGACTCACTGAGTTTTTTTGGTCTCAACCTCAGCCAAAGAAATTTTCATCGACTCGTATCACTACTGCTGAAACAGGCACTTCAAGGGCTCAATATTTATATCTTGACATATTCGATATAATTGGATTAAGCTGGTCAAATAGTTCTTTGTTAAATACACCTACTGCAAGAGATGGGTATGTTTAGTGATGAGCAAATCATAGCTTTCCAAAATATCTCATGCGGGATCCAACAAACGTGTATTTTGCGCATATGATTTGCATGGATCCCGCATATGCCTATCACTACTCATGATATTTATATAAATAAAATGTTAAAATAAGTGAAGATGATCTGAGTGAGAATAATTGACAAAAAAAAAAAAAAAAAAGATCTTCAGAAATATGTTATAAAACTTAAAATAAATTATAGGATAAATCATAAGAAAATACAAATTTTAAAGATCTATACAACTACATTGCGTCTTAAGTGAAATGATCCTAAGGCCATTCAAAATCAATTACAGCTATTTCATAATTCTTGGAACATCTGATAAAATTAGCTGAAGGATTTTTCAGTCAATTCGATTAAGTTTGTAATTTCAACATGATCCGTATAATAAAAACTACTTTTTATATCATAATAAAAATAATGTTAAATTATTAAATTTTCATTCAAATACTTATCTAATATTCAGTATGCCAATAAGTCCTAGCAAGAAATATAAAAAAGCACAATATATTAATTAGACTTTTAAAATAAACATATTGCACGAATTATAGTACATCTTAGAAGATCCTGTATATAAATAAAATTTACTTTTATTTATATATACAAGTTGGTTCGTGGCCCTTCAAATGTCATAACATCTAACAAGAGTTTCATTCAGATTATACTTCAAATTTCAATCAGTTTTTTTTCTTGTTAAACTTTTAAAATAGTTTGTTTCATTGCATTAAGTGTTTGGCAATTTTTCGAAATGATAGGGTCTTCTAACTTTTTTTTTAATTATTTTCTAATGAAAATATTTTGAAAGTATTATATTTCTGTATTCCATCAAAGATATAATATTCAATAATATTTATATTTGTTACCTGGTTATAAATTATATATATCAATTCTTATTGAATCTATTATGCCGAATCACAAACTTAACCAAATCAGCTGAAATTTCAAGTTATGAAAACCAGGTAATTAAATTTGTATCACCTAATATTATTTTAAATTGATTTATATAAAAAAAAATTGCTTTTGAAAAAATTGTCATCTCATCCCTTTTTCCAGAACTTATCTCATATGAATATTGAATAATTTGAGTCATAGTATTGTCACATATTTTTAATATTAATTTCTTTCTTTTCTGCTTATCCACCCAAGTTCAAGCTTAAGGAAAATATATGAATTTGTATAATGTTTAATTCTAAACAATTTGACAAACAAATTTTTAATAATACCGTACCAATATCAAAATTTAAAGTAATTTAGCAATCTCTTTCTTTAATTGTCTGACTTCTTCCTTAATGGTTATAAAAAAAATAAGAAATTATTTTTTCTTGGCAATCTCCTCTTTTAAACTAATGGAGAACTTACACTTTGGCCTCCTGCTGGTTATTGCGATCAAAGCTCAGCAACTTTCGAGTCGCAAAATAGTTCTGTAGCTTAGATTCTAACCTATTTGCTTTAACTTTTGAAAAGTAAGTTAAATTGTTTTTTTTTTTTTTTTGTGCTATACTATAAGAGGAAAGGTTAATTATGAATTCTAATTTAAATAGTTTATTATATGTCTTATGCAAAATATTGTCTTTTGCCTTTTTCATTTTATTTAAATGTAAACGGAGCCAGTCAAATATAGTTAGGTTAGCATTGGCTATAATTCTGTCAAATTATATTTTGGATCTCAACATTATTGATAATATTTTACAATAAAATATCTTAAATTCTTAAATTTTGAAATTATGTATATGTATAGTTGTATACTATTAATATAAAAACAAACCAATTAGCAAACAAAGATCCTAAAAACTTGGCATAATTAATAATAATAACATATAATAGAATTAACCTTTCAAGGCTTTACTAGTTCAAGGTCAAATTAGCATACATGTTAGGATGTCGGAGACAAATCATACATTTATGTATTGTATGTAACAGGAGTGACCGTCCCAAATAAGGGGGGTCCTTAAAGCCGGGTTGAAAAAAGTTACGTTTTTGATGTATTTAGAGTTACCTTTTTGATTTAGTTAGGGTT